CAAGAGAACTCTTAATACCAAAACATTAAAATGCACCCATGGAGTCTTCCCTTACTAGACACATTTAATACATGTTTACAATATATATACACATATATAATATACATCTAGAATTTTTCAAATAAATCTTTGTAATTTCCTCTTCAAAAGAAATAAAATAATGACACTGAAAGAATATGAGTCAAGTACACATAACTCTCAAAGTTGAATGCTCAGTTTTGCAGCCAAGTTTCCCCTTTCTGTCATAACCAAATCACTTTATAAAAACTAAATAATCTGAATTACTATTGTAGTCATCTGTTTCATGGCAAAAGTTCTAATCTTATCTATGGAAATATATTGCATATCAATATCATGAAGTGACATATCTGAATATTCTGAACAATAAAAGGTATTCCAGGATATTTTAGCAGTAAATATAATGTGTTGCAGGCTCAAACAGCACAGGTCACCCTTTTATTCTGAATAATACAGTTGATTTAAACTCTGAGATCAGCTTCAAATGTGGTCCCACACCCAAATGCCACTCTAAAAACAACACAGTCAAACTCTATGTTGATATCTTTCAATGATTCAATGATTCCTTTTTAGAAAGTGTCAGTTTAAAGGTAAAGATTTATTCATCAGTTTCCAGTCTTAACCTCAGACTAGTATGTGAAAGACTTGCATTGGGTTCCTTCCTACTCACATCAGCGCCAGAAATCATCTGCAGCAGAAATTCTGCCTTCCATTCCCACCAGAGGAAAACACCAACTGCACACTTAAGAGCAGTAGTAACTCTGATGATGACACATAATAGAAAAGAATCCACTCACCTTCCTTTAAGAAGGGATAAAAGACTAAGATTGGATTAAAAGTTATTTGTCATTCAAATCAACAGAGAAGCTCTGAATACATAAACAAATCACATCTGTTGAGTAATTATAAGCAGCACTCATTCTTCAGGTTGTGAAATGGCTCTGTGAATGGCACAGAGTATTGTAAATAACCTCCCCCCACACCTGCAGAGCAGGCTGGGACATTAGCATTGGCATAGTCATCAGGATACTCTGTGAGAAGCAGTTCAGAGGTTGTTTTTTTAAGGGGATAATGGTCAGAATGTCAGATAAAGAACTGATTTTTGGTTGAAGCCAAAATCTCCAGCTGAAGGTCATGGCAACCTGGGGAATGCCTGACTTTGCTCCCCATTACTGGATTTGTTGTAGAGTTATAAGGCTTGCCTGACCCTGAGGAGGGTAAGCAGGGCTGAGGAACACCGGCAGTTCCCTGTAACTGTGGCAGGAAGAATTAAGAACTTGGCAAAAGAAAATGAAAGAAAAACTTGGAAAGGGAAAAGCTGTGATTTGTGGTATGTTAGGGGCAGCCATGATATCCACCCAGAAAGATAAGCATAATGTTAAGCAAGTTGAAAAAGAACCTAATGAGACTCTATTAGAACTGACTCCTTGCTTTGGAGGCGGATCTCCTCAATCAGAAAGCCATGTCTCATTTGCCCTGGAAAGATCTAAAAGAAGGTAGGACTGAGTTACTTTCCAACCCTAAACTTAAACCACTCATTAAAACTGAAATAGTGGGCCCACTGTTGCCATAAAGGCAATACCTTGTAGTGCCACTGAACTGGTTAAGTTGCAGGAAAAACATAGCAGGCAGGCAAAGGAAAATGAAACAAAATACGTCCCTCATTGGATGGGATAGGATAAAGCTCTCAGAAGAAGCAGCAGCCCAGAGATATTGGGGCCTGGGGTATTTGTAACAGTAGATGATAGTAGGAGACCATGGTGCCTGGCTCTGTGAGTGGCATACTGGGCAGAAGAACCAGATCCATAGAAGGGGGAAACCCCTTATCCATACCTACCCCTGGTCTGGGTCAGTTAACAGAAAGTATACAGAAAGCAGTTTGCCTTCAGTTAATGCATGACAAACTGCTTATACCTCAGCAACCTTTCCCCATGTTGCTTATGGCTAATCCTGATGAATCCTCTCATTAGAAACTAGCCGATTCTTTAAAACTTTATGCTGTGGCCTTTGTAGCAGACAGGGGAGTCCAAATGTCAACTTTAAATGCCGAGACAGCAAAGTAGAGTGGTGTTGTGTCCGACAAAAAACAAACACAAGTTTCTGATGTGTTTGGATACTCAACCCACAACTTGGGTAAAATGTTAGTAACTTGGTGACTCCACTCCAGAAACTATCATGATATTGGGCATGCTCCCCACCAGTATCTTGGGGCTATATTTATTAAAAGGAAAAGCTTGGATGGATTCAAAGGGGAACAAATGGAGATTTGGGGATCTCCATATGTCTTTTACAATTCGCTCCCAAACTTCCCCTTATCCAAGACTGTAAATGTAAAACTGCACCACTTACCACTGGGTGCAAGAGAGGAGATCGCCCCAATCATGTCATCCAAACCGACTCACTTTACAATTCTCCTGTATGGCCAGTTCATAAACCAAATGGAAAACGGCAACTGACCACTGACTGTCACTGCCTGAATGCAAACACCAGCCCCCTCACTGCTGGATCTACAATACAGGAGCAAAGCAAAAAGGAACTCCAACACACTTTGGGACTTCAGGTTTTCTGGAGACTAAGACCCAAAGATGCAGGTAGGTCTGACCGACTCTGGGATGTGATGACAAAAGTGAACAATCGGTGGCAATTAAATGGATGTCCACAACTTATGGCACTTTGCCATAAGGCTCCCCATGTCCTTCCCAAGAACAGAGAACCAGATGATCCTAAGAACCCCTCATATTATCCAGGCCAACCAGTACTGGTGGACATGCCACCAATTGGAGAAGTTTCCTTGGTTCTGATAGGACCAAGTTCTTCTTTCTTTTCTACTGCAGGAAGAGGAATCTACTGAATTTAGAAGTTCACTTCAAGCATATGTGTTACTGTTACTCCTATCAATTGATTGTATAGTTCTTAGTTTAAAAACTACTTTACAGTATGTGTATATGCTCGCTGCAATCATTATTTTGGGTGATTTGTCTTGTGTACATAGGAATCGCAATGAGAGAGGATTCCCCTGCTACTTAGCATGAGATTTGTACGAATATGGAATACGACCAATCAAGGCACCTGTGTATCTCTTCCAACCTCCTCTGAGCAGGGCTTGAGATTTTTTGTAACACCAATCATTATGTCTTTCAATCTGACTCATAACTAACTAATAGACAGGCCTCATGTCCTTCTTCCTCCAGTCTGGAAATTCAAGGACTACACATATATTCAGTAGAGGGCTGACCATCCTTTGGTCAAGGACGAGGTGGAAACAATTGAATGCTCTGGAGAAAATTTATCTCTAGGACTACCTAACACCCATTTTGACCATTATAAGGAAATAGATAATGATTTTTGGGGACAAAACTTTCCCTCTCTCACATTCACACAGAACTTCATTCTTGGGCATCTTATGACTTGGGCAAACTGCCAGGGAGGCAGGACAGAAACTCATGCTCCACGAAGGTGGGGGTATTTTCCTGTGTTGGCTGCCCTAAGGCCGCGGATATCAACTGCCTAGGCAACAAACAGCCTGGAGACAGTGCTGCAAGGCACTGAGCCTGTACCCATCAAAGCACAAAGTTAACTGGATCTGGGGGCTTACCACATACCCCTACCACCATCAGGAATGTTCCAGAATAGCTCACAACGCAGGGTCAAGCATGCAGATGAATCTCCACCTGCGGGAGGATTCCAAGGAACCTGACCCTATAAAAACGCAATCATCTTTCAGCCATGTGGTGTGCTCCTCCACCATGGACTTCAGCGGGCTTACTAAAAGGACTTCAACTCGCTGACTGAGAAGACATCACTGGATCTATGGATGGTGAACTTATCTCTGTTTTCTCTCCTCCTTTCCTTTCTCCTTTTTTCCCTCTACTTTGGATCTTTTATAAGAATAAGAACTCGCCAAGACTTTTGTTCCTCCTGACACAGTTTAGGGAAGTTTTACAATAAAATGAACTGTTGTTTAATTTTCAACCTCTGGAGGGCCTGTGGTTTCTCCTGTGAACCACACAGAGTATTGTAAAAGGTCACCTCTCCCACACACATGCTAAGTAGGACGGGACACAGATAACTTAATCAATAGCATGATACACTCAGTGAAGCACAGAAGTTAAAAAGTTCCACAAATGGTGAAGCTGGGAAATACTTCTAGAAGTAGCAAAATATCCCAAATTGATAAAACTTTGTATAGTTCCCACCTATTGCACTACTAGGACTCATACAAAGCATCAGGTATAGGTTTAATTTTCAAAAGAAGTATTTCACTGTTATCCTTAATGCCCAGAATGATACCCTTTTCAACAGGAACAGAAAGAGGAGATGAATGTTTGATAGTTAAGTTGTAGGACAGCTTTTTCAGAAAGCTTTGTGATAATTTCTTGTGCCAGATCTCCAAGAATAAACAGCATTATAAATCTGAATAAGTTAAATCTGCTACTACAGTATATACAGACTGCTTCAGTCTGTTGTTAATTGGGACTAGACTAAAGGCTCAGCTTCTAGCCACATGCTAATATGGGTTTTTAAAAAAATTATATAATTTTTTTTGCAAACTAAATAATTCCTGTATAACACAGAAGATGCAACAGAAACTTTACTGCATTTTAATTTATGTTAGTAATTTGCTTGCCGTTAACTGCATTTATCTTAGGCTAGCAGTCAGGTGGCTGAGACTAAGTATCCACTATTGGCCTCTGAACAAGATCTACTTTATTAATACCAAGGGGATGACAAAGTGCCTCTCACACAAAACAGAAATGAGCATGTGAAATGACACTTTTTCCAGGTGATTTAATTTTAAGTACATTAAGATTCCTCAATGAGAAGCATCCTAAGAAGTTTCCCTCTTTTCCTACTCCCTGATGCAATTAGACCCCTTTTTTCCAGTACTCCATTTTATTAATAGATAATACATAGACCTAGTTTCACCCAAGGCCTGCCTGGACGAAAATTCACACCCTCTGAAATAAAAGCATTTCTTTTGATTTTTAACTAGTTGAAACTGAGAGTTTCCAAGCTCTCAGCACCAGCTGAGCTCACAGAAACCAGAACAAACTTCAATTTAGAAAACAGTACCCTGCAAAACTAAACACTTACAAACATTCTCTGAATTACAGGGCAGGGTAAGAAGACTCACACCCTCCTCTTCTCTTTTGTGCAGCTGGTTAAATATATACAAAGCTAGAGTTGAAAGGGAAGCACTCTGTCATACAAACACTTTAGCCAGGGCATCTGCTCCTGCACTGGCAATATAACATTTGGAGGGGTGGAATGCCACATCATGAATGGACTCATCAAATTTTTTGCGATGAGCAGTAAATTCTTGGATGCAGGTCTTGCTTTCAAGATTCCACAAGCGAATCGAACAGTCATGACCTAAAGAAAGGGGAAACAGTTTTCATTATAATTCTCATGTCTGCCACCATGATGAGAAAAAGAAAACGAAAATTTGAATGTACTTACTGCCAGACATCAAATACAAGCCATTAGGATCAACAGCTAAACTTGTAACTGCATCTAAGTGAGCTACCATGGAGTGGATCAGTTTTCCTTTTAAGAAAAAAGTAAAAAGAAAAAAGAAATAAAATTCAGGTTATTTTCCGCAATCCACTTTGTTATCTGTATTCACTGCTTAAACCCTAACACAGCTCATATTATAAATACAAGACCTTGTCCCATGAACCATTAAAAATACGCAGTAAGTCATTCTTTTAATGTTTACAGGCCCAGGAGAGCCACAGTACCAATATCACTAGTTCTGTTACATCTTTGGTTTATGTCTGCAAAACTACCATGACGCTGCAATCACTGTGCATTTTAAGTATCTGCCTCTTAAATGAATTAAGAGAATTCAAGAGTAAGATCTTCACTGGGAAGGAGGGCAGAGGCTGAGTGTACTAATAAGCAGTGAATATAAGAATATAGAAAAATTTAGTCAACTCATAATGAATGTTTTATTACAACTTATTACAGTTAGAATAATGACTTCATGTTAAAAATATTAAATCATGGGTCAAATATGGGGGTTTTGTTGCAGAAGGTAATTAAAGAGAAAACAAAAAAAGAGCAGCCATTTCTCAACTATTTTTTTCCAAAGCTACATCATCAAACAAATCAGCTATTCAGCTTTTTCCTCATCTTTTAGTGATTCCTTTTTCCTCTTCTTACTTTAAAATACATCTTGGGAGTAGCAAACTTAAAATTAACAAGAATATTGAAAGATCTAAATTTAAGACAGCGTGTTCTGTCACAAACTAAAGATTACTATGATTTGCAGTCAGAATACCTGATTTATAGTACCATTCCTACCAAAAAGTCTTTTAAAACCCAAGAAATTTATAACTAGACATCTCAGTGTGACACTCACTACAAAAGTGAAAAACTGTTATAAACTGTCCAGCTGTGTATGCAGAAGTGAGAGATCCATGCAACGGATCAAAGTGAGAATGATGCCTGCAAAGGAACTTCTACCTCCAAGGTATCAGGCAGAGGTCTGGGAAGCACTGAACGAGTGCCATTGCTTCCTGCCCTCAGACCAAAATAACACAGAGAACACAACACAATAAACATGAACATAAACACATAAAGATTTTGAAAAAGCTGCCATTTATGTTAGAAATTTGTAACCCCCATACATAAGGCATTTTAAAAGGACAGAACGACACAGATTCCTTATCACTGTGCCAATAAGGTTTTAAGTAGGCTGGCAATCTTTGGGCTCTATTGGTGATGAGTGATTCTGTTTCAGAGACTAGTGAATTCTTAACATCACTCACCATTTATATGAATAATACTAATCATAATGAAATTCTGTTTACATTTTATGTTATGCAACCACTGATTAGGACCTGCTGAAGATATGCATACCTGTATTGTTGTCGTAGAATTTGATGTGTCTGTCTTCATGGGCAGTGATACTAATTGGAAGAGTTGGATGGCTGATGACTCTGTTTATCTGACAGGAGGAACTGACTGCTAAGAAAAAACCCACACATCTCAATACATGTAAATTGTTAAGTTCTTTGAAAGATTGCTACTAAGAAATAATTATGTAATCAAATTTATTTGCAAAATAATTCTTACCTTTATGTAATGGAAACTCTCAGCTAGCACCTTCTGTAATGTGGTTTACTCTAAAATACTTTCCAAATTACACACACAGAAAGGCATACATAAACCATATCTATGAGCGTAAATACTAACAAATAAGGTCCAAATTTTGGCCATGGTGTTAGATGGGTGCATCAGTCAAGAACATGAAGCCAAAAACTGAGTAAAAATACCTTACGTGCACTTCCCTACCTCCACATTCTTCTTGTCAAGGCCAATCTTCTTCATAACACACAGCCAATACAGTAAAATTAACACTGCAGGCAGTATGTTTCAAAGCAAAAAAGATAAGATCCCATGCTCGCACTCTAACAAACCAAACCCCACCTGTTATTATCTGATACACATGGATTACAATTCTTATTGAAGAAAAGGATGCTAGACTATTCATGAGAGCAATTTTTATAGCCTTCAAGAATCTTAAAATACCATATATATACACGTATATGAAATATCATATATATACACATATATGAAATATCATATATATACACATATATGAAATATCATATATATACACGTATATGAAATATCATACATATACACACACTACACAAAAATTATAGGAGTTTTTTGATTAGAAATCTAGGCATTGCTGTGATGCGCAGAGTAGTGCAAGAATGGTCTTAAGAGGCACAGATTACCACAAAAAACACAAATAGCCACACCACAGAACATCAAAATATAGTTATGTTCCTTCATGTGGGAGTTGACTGTATTTAGTTAAACTGCTGCCAAAGAACACTCATATCATCTAATTTAAATTCTTACTAAAATAAACAAAATACTACTGTACGATCACTTGCTACTAAGGCAGTAAAGACTTAGATTTACATCCTTCTATAAAAATCTGAACTGTCAAGTAGCGCCAGCATCCACAGGAATTTAACAATTACAAAAGTGTAAATTAAGGAAAAAACACATTCATATTAATAAACACACCTAAAATTACTAAAAGTAAATGAGACTGCATTACAACCTGCTATCCTCACAGTTTTAAAATGCCAAGCACATACAGTGGAGGGGGGACGGGGAAGAAGAAAGGTAACTTCCGCTGAGTGGAGATAACTGACTTAGGACTGTTTTTTCAGACAGGGACAAAGATGTGGGTTAACAAAAAAAGAAATCCTTTACAGTAAGGAGTAATACAAGGAAGGGAGATGGCACTTTCCATTCCCTTTCATAAAATGAGTCATTTAACTATTGTAAAACAGACAAGCAAAGCCAACAAGAAGGGCTTACTCCCTTTAAAAAAAAAAATAATTAAATAGTAGAACTCAGTGACATAAAACTTTTAGATGGAAGAATTATCAAAATTTTAAAAAAGACTGAAATCTTTTATTATTACCAGGTTACCATTTTGGCCTGAATATGAAACCTCATGTTTCAGTTCATTCTGCTCTCTCTCATAATGCCAGTTTCCTCTAAAACTTCCGATATTGGCCACTGCCCTGATACAAAACATTATACAGCATTATATACTCTTCCACTGGAGCTTTGCTTTTCTCATACAGCAAAAACTTCAACTAAAGCCCAACTGCAAATGAGCTAAGAGTGCATATAAATTCAGAAGAGAGTTACATCTGAGGAAAAATAAAAAAGAATACACACACACACACTCCCATATTTTAAATAAATTCAGCTTTAGATTTGCCTGATATTACCACTATCTTGCAATTCCAGACTAAAGAGTGAATGGAAGTCTTGAAGCTGCTAAGATCACTGGGCTATATTGGAGACCCGTGCTTTTCTTTGTGCTACTGTTCCTGGAAGAGGAATTCAGATAGTGTGGCTTTGTTTCTTCTACCTTCTTTCAAAAGTATATGCACTCTTTTACTACTGAGATACCCAAAAGCTCTGTTGTAGTAGTAATTTATTGTTACACCTCGAACACAGCCTGTAACGTAATTCATGTTATAATTTATCACAACATTGCCTATTTGTTTGGTAACACCAACAGTATTGACCTTAAACAAGCAATTTTTTGAGGGATTGGTTTTTAATTTGATACGTACTAGTATCCATACTGGACTCCAGGGTAAGAATTCGCTGCCGTGTCTCCATGTTAAAAATACATGTGTGTCCACTGTTAAATGATGCTACCATGAGACTTGGGTCACTGCTCACAAGATCTACTGATGAAGGGATTCCCATTTCTAGAAAACAATGTAGAGAATATTTTCATAAGACTTGGTTGGTGTAAAGAAAACAACAAAAAAGCCCAACAAAACAAACAAAAAACCCCTCCACCCAGTAAGCACTTTAGTATCAAAAGGGCCATGATTATGAAAGGAAATGTTGCATTTTAAAATCTACAATATGACAATCTAAATAGACTGCCTTGTACGATCACTATTTTAATCCTATTTCTCTGATACGTGTATCAACAATATTCTTCACTAAGATGCTGTATCTGGAACTGCTGCCGGACGAAAATCTACTTTGAAACTAAGAAAGAAACTCCCTGCCTCCTTCTCCTTCCTTTAACTGTAAAAGCAATTCTCAAACACAGCTCCATTGCATCAAGTAAAAGGGCATGAAACTGAAGTGGTGAAACTATTGGCAGGGCAGATGATCAACGTTATTATTAACCTGGGCAAATTCAGAGCTTAAAAAATACCCAAAGCTTTCCAGGTGCAAATTTTATAAACTGGTACTGTCAGCATGGAAAGTTACACAAATACATTATAAACTCATCTTAAAGCTTCATCCATCCTGCCTGTTATGGTATACATCTGATCTATTTACATTGTAGCTATCTGAACACTACAGGACAGAAAGCCAAATCAGCAGAGCTTGGGTATAGGAAACATCCCTTAGAATTTTTCTCCTCGACTGTCCTGTTCACCACCTGCTATGTGAAAGAACACCATCAGTTGCAACAGATGCCAGGAGGAGCAGGAGGAAGAGGTGGAGAGAGACACATTGAAAGTTAAGCAAGTTAATGTCCATAGATCCCGATAACACAAGAATATCACCACCTCTCTCTAAACCTAAGATTCATAGGAGAAACATCTCTCTTGTACACACAGCCTCAGGAATGTTGCTCACAACTGGTGGTACATATCTACAGCACTCCAAAAACAGCCCAAAAGGATTGGTGTGAGATGAGAAGAAAACATGTATTGTTTCTGAAGTGACCTTTTCTACCACTGTCATGCCTGCTTACCTGCAACTTCCTGATAAGCCTACAGTGGTTAATCTAAAGGACTTAAGTGACAACTGCTGCCTTTTTTATAGAGTTTGTTCAAAGTTCTCAATAAGCCATAGCAAAGTTTCAGTTTCAAAGGAGGACCTCTGAATTTCAACAACTGGGTTTCATTCCAGTTTGGAATATAAATATCCCAAAGACAGCTCTGTCAGGCAAGACCGCTCCCCCTGCTCCCTTAATTTAATAATTAACAAACAAACAAACCCAAAACAAATAACAAACAGAAACCCAAACCAGACAAAACCCACTACCAGGAAGTTTTCAAAGTAGACAGGTAGACAATCTAGTAGCAAACCACTTATGTTTTCACAGACCCTGCAAACCTTTGGAAACACAGTTCTGCAAGAACTAAAATGCACGAAACATTTGTATTTTGCTCACTCTATTTTAACTAACAAGTAATGGCACCTCGAACCAGGTTCATATAATTTCACCATAATTCAACGAGATAGTTCAGTTATGCTGAAGTTTATTTTGCCTCAACGTTGTTCTGAAGGGCCGAGGAACTTTCTCAGTTCATGGGTTGCCTTTAGGACCAAGACTCTAAGAGACTCTAGCAATGTCAATGGGCTCATTCTAGAACACTTACTCAAGACAGCAACTTCAAGAAAAAAGGCTCTAAACAGTGAGATCTTGATTTGTGCATGACATTTCAATAACTAAATCCAAAGGAGTAAGTTTTTTCAACTAGTAGTGTTTAAGATGACTAGGTTACTGCTACTTAGTTAATGCAAAAACTCAGAAATTCAACTGGAATCTCTGTGTTAGAGGCACAAGGAACAATCTGGAAGGTACAATGACTCTGGCTGCAGATGAAGCACTGGCTACTCCAAACCTCTTTTGGGGGAAGACAGGGCTTTTTATTCTGACCAAACCAAAAACAAGGGCTTAATGGAAACTCAGTATGAATCAGACCTACAGGGATAATATATTATACTCCATGGTTCTGCTAACATCAGCAGATCATCTGCAGTTGGCTTTTAGATGTATGTGACCGTCCCACTGCATATAGGTATCCATTCTGCCGGTGTGAAAGAAGGGACCCAAATTTACTCTCCCCCCAAAACGATCATAAAGATATAAAAACCAGCAAAACAAGCAAGAAGAATTTCTATTCTGTAGCAAAAAACTATGGCAGTCTGCACAGTGATGCTCATGAACTTCAAGGTAGGGCAATTTTCTGTACCTTGATTATCATTAAATATATTGAGAGCTGGAGCAATTTCTGTAGCTTTCCATAGACGTATAGTGCCGTCTGCTGAACAGGACAGCAGACGCTGGTGTGCTCCACTGTAAACCAGACCCCACACTGCATCTGTATGGCCTACAAAAGCACCTCTTAGAACAGAAGGATCTGTGAAAAAAAAAAAAACAAACCACAACAAAACACGTTTCAAAACAAGATCTGAATAATTAAGTCAGTAGTTGTACCTTGTTCTGTGTTTACGGATCAACTTTAAAAAGCCAACCATAAAAAAAAAAAAAAAAAAAACCAACAAAACACCCAAGACCAATATCAATACAGAAGTCATATCATATGAGTACAGAAGTCTCAGTTATTCTTGTATGAAGATGCTTGAATTTCATCATCATACAAGCATTCACTTATCCAGTTTAAACCTAATGGAACAAACCAATGTTTTAGCAGAAGGGACAGTATCAAACTTGGCAAAACACACCTGGATTTTAAAATTCACTTTCAAACAACCATTAATGGCACATCAGTTCCTTTTTTCCAAAGGCCAGCTTTAAGGCCAACTGCATCTACGAGAAGTGAACATTAAAAAACACATTTGTTGTTCTTACAAAGTAACAGGTTTAGCCCTGTACTTTTTCAACCAGCATCAGTATTAAAACAAAAATTTACTTAAAGTAGTTGAAACCAACATTCAATTTTCTCTTAAATTTTCAAACAAGCATTACCTACAAGTTTTACTATTTAGCCAAATAACATTAATGCACTAAATGTATCACTTCACTGGTGTGTGTGACAAAAACATACCGTAAGAGTCATAGGGGTCAATGTTTGGGTTGGTTGTATTCCAGCCATGGATAAGGCCATCTGTTCCCCCACTATAACACTGTTCACCATTACTGCTCATCACCACACAGAGCACTGGTCCACTGGAAGAAACCCCCCGCAAAAGAAACATTGACTATTAATGTTTTCATTATGTGTAAAGCAATGGCAATAGACTCTTCAAATTTCCCTGTTAGATATGATTCACTTGCTGCATGAACTGCAACAAAAATTCTGCACAGTCAGATCATATGTTACAACACTTTCCACAAAAAAACCCTCATAATATTTGTAAACATAACTACAATTAGGACAATTTAATCATTGTGCACATGAAATATGAAAAGTGTTACACTTTTAAATACAGGCTACGATGTTTCACATAAACAGTTTTTCCCCCCCTTTTTTAAAGATCTAAGGCTCCTTCATGAAATGAGTTCAGTAGATTCACTGCAAACAGCTTCATTCTACAAATGCACTTACCTGACAAAAAGAACACCTAATCAAACTCGAACTGTACAATTTGTAGGCTTTTCTTTTTAAAAACTATGGTGTACCTAGCTCCAGACATAAATAATTATGCAAAAAGGAGATGAACATCTACAGATATTTTAAATAACATGGTAACTAAAAGCACCACATAGAAACACTAGTTGACAAGGTGGGAATTACTTCAAACAAAAAATAAATCTACATTTAAAAAATCATATATTCTTCAAAATATAACAACTTTTCTCAGGAAATACTCACTTATGAGCTCTGAAGGTATATATTGGTTCTACATCAAGAGACGCACTCCTAAATGAAGTACAAGAAAGTGTTAACATGTGTATGATCGGACACAATGCATTACAAAAATATGTTAGAACTGCTAAATTCTTAAAATCACTGCTATGTTGAAGTGTTTCTCCCACAACTTCCTCTCCCAACATGATTCTTCATATGTCTAAGAATTCTTTGCATTCTTTCAAAATATTATAGGATTTGTTTGGTTTGCTTGTTTTGTTTAAAGACCTTCAAGGTAGAGAGTCCACAAACTCTCAAGACCAATCAAACCAGTAGGTAGGTATGTCAATGGTGGGGAAGCCCACATGCTTTGCCCAGTCCTCTGAAAAGGTATGATGTACTCCCTTACTATATTAGCCCTGCTGCAAATTTGCTCTCATTTCTGCAAATCCCCAGCAACACACAAGAGACAGTGTACAAAGGAACCTAGCAATATCTCGAAGTTGAAAGCTGTACACATGCATATGCATATATATGGATATACATATATGCATATATAAAAAAATAAATGCATTTTTATACATTTATATACACATGCAAGCACACTAACAGGTCACATCCAAATATTTTCACTAGTAAATTAATTTTCCATGTTATCAACAAGGAAAATAAAAAAAAAGTGAATGGTTCTCATTTTTACAAACAAAACACATTCACAGATACACGAGGATTTCTTCTGGCACTCTTTAAAAGTCTCCATCCTTCTCTAAGAGCTTATTTTCCTACACTTTACATCCAAGGAACAATTTCCACTAACTCCAAGAGCCATCCAAGTGAAGTGGTATCTACAGTTGGGGTTTTTTATTTCATAAATGAAAATGGTTTTTGAAACAAAGTAAAAACAATCTTACTTTTTTGCTGGGGCTGTTTTTTGTAAATTCCACATTTTTAATGTATGGTCCTCTGAAGCTGTTATTAAGACTGGTTCAACCGGATGAAAAGCGAGACCTCTTATTCCATCAAAGTGACTTCTTAATGTGAATTTGGGGTTCCAAGTCTTTCTCAGTGCATCCTTATTGTTTGCTATCTAGTAGGAAAAAAATATGCCAAACTTGTAATTAATCTGGAAGGCATAAGCAAAAGAAGAAATCAGAAATTTAGTTTGGCATTTTCAGAAGATGTCAAATTACCTCACCCACTTTTGTAACAACTGGCTCTTGAGCAACGGTCCATTTGTAACACTGATCAGGCAATTCAAAATGAGAACAAACATAGATGTATTCCACAAAGGCAACAAGTAATGTTAAGTCCACAGCAATACATTATATGCAAATCTGAAATACTCCACATGCCTGTTAAGTTACATAATTTAAAAGCTGAAAAGTACCTTTTCTGACTGATACTGCTGTGAACTCGGTTTGGTATCTGAAATTTGTCTATACCTACTGGCTCACACATAATACTGGGCCTGACCCAATCAAGCTGTGGTCTCTGAATATCTGAAGTACCACTGACACGGCATTTCTGAAATAAAGATCTAAGAGAAACAGAGGAGTGTCCAGCAGCACAGAAAGGAATGCAACCTAACTTACACACTTAAGGCAACACAAGCTCTGTAATAATGCAAGACAAGTAAAGCTTGCCAGAAAGAAAGAAAGAAAGAAAGAAAAAAAAAAGGACTTTTGGCTACACACTAAGAACATAACAGGAAAGCAGTAAGTTATCATCTATACAGACACAATTATTTGGCAATAAATGCATTTTAGCAGATCCAAAAAGAAAGACTGCAAAAAAAATAAAAATAACTATTTCAACATTGCTCCTCTGAACAAATGTTGACTTGAAATGCTGAACAGACTTTATCACTGTCAGTCAACACTGACATAGTTGAATTTACCATCCCATAACCGCTCTGATAGCGGTTATGGAAAACCAGGAAAACAAACAATTGTAATGCAAATATTGATGATTTCATTATGTTGAAAGCCACAGATGATCTCAAATAATTTAGTATCATTAACTGCAAAGAAGAGACAATTGTTTCGAGCCACTTCAGCAATATACATTTTACTCTGGAATGTGGGACAGGGCGGTATTGGTTAAGAACAGAAGTGCCTTGTCTTAAGTTTTGATACTTTTATATTTAATAATAAAAATATAATTCAATTAAGAGGTTCTATAGAATTTAAACAATGAGAAAGGAGTTGTAACAAACAGCAGGTTTAGCCTCATCATATTTCTTAGTAATTATGTACTGTCTTGCTCAGGGAGACAAGTCAGTTTCTTTGCCAGTTTACCGAGCTGAGTTGGCTCAATGAGAGAACAGACAAATGCTCGAGCTGGTGTGAGGATGAGGCAGGACTGCAAGGTCAGCAGCTCTGGCAGATTTTCTGGAGATTGGCCAAGAATGTCTCAGCTAAAAGGGTACAAGACATACAGAGTATTAGCAGATACCTGGAGAGGAATTTGGCAACATGGACGTCTAATGCCCATAAGATGACGGAGGGAACCCCTCCTGCCCTCCAGCTCCCACACCAGCTGCATAGGTCCTGCACCACATCTGTGAAAGCCACAAAGACACCTCAGATGGCCTAACAGTGCATGCCAGTGCTGGCAGCATAATATTCTCCAATTGCTTCAAAGATGTTCTTCCAAGGAGTCCAAGACTATTAGCTTATAAATTGGGAAGTAGATGGAGGGCAGTCCCAGCCAGCAGCAGGCCAGCAGCAGAGATGAAACAGATCCCAGCCCCAACACACCACTTGCCTGGCTACATCAGCATCACTCCTCTTCACCCACCAGTCTCTCACAAGCTGGGGGAGGCTGGGTTACTAATGCAGCAGCCAGACTCCTTTTCTCTCTCCCTACTAAAATACAAGTGGGGTAATCTGAGACTTGAAATGCTATTGCGGGGGGTGGAGTCTGCTCAACCCCAAAATTAGCACCTGATACAGATTTACCGCTACTGCAAAGTCCCAAAACTCCAAGTCAATACATAACATTAAATGTAATGATTCTGTCATTCACATACTCTTACGTACAGTACTCAGTCTATTACAACTTTATGAAGCTTCTTAATCTACCCAGAAGACTGATCGGTTCTGTTTTTCTCCCTAAGGTGAACATCTGTTAAGGTGTGTAAAATAAGGAAAAAGACAAACTTGCAAGTATTGGCTAGCAATCAGGGAAATTTAATCTTGTGAGACATTCTGAAAACTTACCCACTGGATGAAAAAATTACCTTTTAAGTAATAAATTCATAATCTCCCTCACCAGGTGAAAACCATTCTTTAATTTACAGACAGCCACAGCAACAAGCAAAAAACTTAAGCCATGTAATGAGGTAAGACTATAGTTGCCATGGTTTAGAAGAAAAGAATCCAGTAATAGTGTCAGCTGGACAAAAGGGACTGAAAATAGGAAAGTATCCGCATCTCTTCAGAGAAAACACATTTAAAGACTCATTCACATGAATCTTTCAACTTCATTCTCAAAATGATTCAAAATTGCCACTTAAAAGAAAATACTAAATTCCCACTAATCCTATCTGATTCACATTTGGCAGCTGGAAGAAAGTATTAAGTAGTCCAAAATAAAACCACATCACGTTATTTGTAAGCTAGCTACACTTCCAGTGAAATCTGAAATAGAAAAACTAGCCTTTCATTTTGCTTCAATAAACAGCACAGTGACAGGAGCAAGGAGCTTTGTAAACAACTTTTCTGAAAATTGTCAGCACTAGAAAAAGAGTTGAGGTAAGCATGACTATGAAGTCCTGATCACAGGAATACATAAGGGGATTTAACAAGTGAACAAAGAGAAGTTAATATTCTCAAGTGTGGGCTGCAAGCACACACTGCCAGATCATGTTGAGCTTATTGTTAACCAACACCTCTGAAGTCCTGCTCCTAAGAGCTGATCTCAATACATTCTCCACCCAGCCTGTATTTGTGCTTGCGACTGCCGAGACCCAGGTGCAGGACCTTGCACTCAGCCTTGTTAAACTTCACAAGGTTTGCACTGACCCACCTCTCAGGCCTGTCAAGTTCTGTCTGGATGGCATCCCTTCCCTCCAGCGTGTTAACCGCACCATACAGCTTTGTGTCACCAGCAAACTTGCTGAGATTGCACTCAGTATCACTATCCATGTCACCAAAGATGCTGACTTGCTTCAGTACCACATCCCACTTACACTTTTCCCCCCGGTGTCCAATTTCAACTTTCCAAGCCATAACTTGCTACTGTTTCCTCTTAACACCTGGCACTATGGAGAAGCTGGGCTCTGTATTCCTTGTAAGCATCCTTCCAACACCTGTAGGCTGCTACTCAAGCACCAATAAGCCTCCTAACAACTGAACAAGACTAGCTCCCTTAACATCTCCTCATCAGGCACATGCTATTGGGCTCTCCAATTTCTCTACAACCCTCCTGAAGTGGAGGATCCCACAACCTCATACAGGTATGGCCCCACCAGCCCCTTGTAGAGGGGACATTAACTTCCCTCAATCTGCTGGCCATGCTACTTCTAATTTTACTCAGCATCACTGGGGTTACAAGTACACAGCTGTATTCTAGCAGGGAGCTTTAAGACTATTATGTATGGAAAGAGCAGATATGTCAAGTAAAAATTTGTGACATCCTCTGGCAGCATAATTTTATCAGGAAAATGTTTTCTGCTGAGTCTACACACATGTAACTTGCATCTGCCTTCAGCAAATAGACAGCAGAACCTTGAGTTACCACTAATAACTACTTACATCGTAAGTCAGTGAATCTGCCTCGTTGGCTACTGTAAGGCCTGCCAGTTCTCCAAGACCCAGCTCATTTTCAAGGGCTTCATCTGGTCCCATAATAAAAGATTTCCCTGAAGAAGGAGGGAATGTCAAAGCTTCCACTGCAAGAAAACAAAACAAAAAAAATCTGAAACATGGGTTTGTAAAACCTTGATTAATAAAATTATATTTTCCACTTCCCAAATACTAAACATCTCAAGTAGCTGAGGGCAAGAATATATAAAAAAATGCACAAAAAATAACCATTCTAGAGATAATCACTGTACTTACCAATAAACAGTATCCTCTGAACATAATACGTACACTTGAGGTGTGCATGACTCAAGACATTAAGTGTAATTAACTACAGAAGGGAAGGGTACACTACCATTCACCAATATATAATGCAAAAGTAACACAGAAAAGCTCAGGCCCTTGCCTAACTCTGCTATAAAATATGCAAATAGGCTCTGAAGAAGTAGCAAAAGTGTAGACAGGAACAGGTGGTGAGAGCAGCTGGACTCTTCTTCCTAGGACCATGTCCACATACCCAAAAGCAGGTCTACAATGCAATCTTCTGGACACGAGAAACTTCACTCGATTTTATACACTTTTTGTCTCAAATTACACGGGTTTTCAGTAAATTTCAATTTTTTCCCCCTTTAGCTCCATTGTAAATACAAGCCTTGGCAAATACCATTGCTATCAAGGAAAGAGAAAAGGAAACACCATCTCATTCTGTGTCTTATTTAGTCTAACAGCAGCAACACTAAGCTCAAACCAAGCAAACTATGGTTTACAATGAATAGCCTGATCTGTTCAGGCTGCTTGCCCTCCTTGTCCCAAAGGCATCAGGTTCAGATGCTATTCAGTTCCCCACCCAGCATAAAATAACCTAGCATTTCCTAGGTCTTTCCATCCCACACTTTATTACACTACTATGAAGTGTCCTGTTTGCTTTCTATTACTTTTTATAATCAAATAAAAGCTCTTCAATCTCTGTATAACTCTCTCAGTTATTACCTTTTAATCACAAACATCTCTTACTTTCTTCACCCTCATTCTCTTTTTCCATCTTTTGAACTTACGATGTAATATTCCACTTAACACACAATACATACAGGAGATCGTACTTGTAGTTACTAGAATAAAAAAACTGTATGCCAAAAATATAGCGTCTCAGATTTATAAAGGAACACACAGCTAGTAGTTTCTAATACGAGACTCAGACTGGTAACAATCAGCTGTCCTCGTTTCATGAGAGTCCATCCAAGTTTGTGAATTAAAAACCAATTCTTGAAAGGACACAAAACTAGAGGTCTGCTAATATGGTTCTTAGTACATGTGAGACAAGTTGGAAAGGAAACATTCAACAAAGAATTCCTCTGCTTCTCAAAGTGTTGCTAAGTTACCCCCTTCTTTCATAAAGAAATCACCGAGCATGTAGGAAATAGAACTACTGAGATCTTTGGTAACTATGCCACACGCCGGGGCTTTTTATGCATCTTAATTATAACTTGGCCGACCTACTTTTGCACACTCACTGAAAGACTGCTCAGTGAAACCTATATTTTTGCTCATTTTCAGAAGACATATTTACCATTTAAATAAAGAGCACATATGATCTTCTACAAATTAATATAGCCTCATACATTTATTTTGTTATGCCGCATATAGCAATTCAAACATTGAATTAAATAGATGATTTAGCAGCTTTTGGACATAATACTAATGAAGGCAACCATATGCCTCATTGTCAAGATGCGTGGCTTTCCATACTTGGACTAGCCTCCAGGAGAAGTTTTTAATTTTTGGAACACACTATGGAAATGAATACACTGGCAAGCTGTAAGTTGCTCGGTATGATTCACTACACAGTTACCATCTACATTTAAAAGCTATACCTAGCCATTCGCAAAAGAAAAAAAAGAACACATACATAGAGAGAACACACACATGCCCCATCTCTGGCAGTGTTCAAGGCCTGGTTGGGTGGGGCTTTGAGCAACCTGGCCTAGTGGAAGGGGTCCCTGCCTGTGGCAGGAGGGTTGGAAATAGGTAATCTTTAAGGTCCCTTCCAATCCAAACCATTCCGGGATTCTATGATTTGTGTGTGTATATGTATGTATATATAATTTAAAATTATGCTGATGGGAAAAAAACCAGATGTTCTTATGTCCCAAGGCTTTTATGTCCCACACTTTACCACCAGGCCTGAGCACAAGCAAAAGCAAGTGACTTAAGATCCTCATATTACAAAGCCACCAAGTGCCAAATGACTTTTTTCCATAATGTTCAAAGGCACTCAGTGAAGATTTTAAGTAGGCAGGTGTCTTGACCTCACTAACAGTGACTGGAGGGGAGGAATAGGAATGCCACTTATTGCACTTAGAACTCACAATGCTGAATCTGTATTTGTAAAGTGCTACGGAAGTCTTGGAGGATAATCTTTAAGAAATAACTATAAACATCTGCCCTTTCCAAAGATGTATGCACATTTTTAATGCTTACCTTCATCTGTCCTGTTTATCTCATGTTCAATGAGCCTTGAGCTACTGGGCCTAGAAGAAGGTGCAACAGACGGCTGTAATGAAGGAAGATCATCAACATCTCTCAAGTTTGCTAGCATATCTTGCAGCTTTGACCTGTTGGGCCCTAACCAAAAAAAAAATAATAAAAATTAAACACTTTATGCATAGTTCACGTTGGTATTACTTATATCAAATATGCTACAGCAGCACATGCAACAATGGATCCTACCTTGCATTGTAACGTTACCACAGAAGAACTAATGAGCACCTATTTTTAGCAGTAACTAATCATCCAGCATGAAATGAATTTCTTGAAAAGAAAGTGATAGAAGCAACTGAGACTTGTGAACGCATTATTCTCCCCACATTGATAAACTCATACTGCTACTTGCATGGGATGCTGAAGAATGCCTCCGAGTCACACTGATTGATTATTAGAATATTTACTTTTCCAAAACAATAGCTGACATTTGTGAATATTTTAAATTTTGTGCATCAGGTACTTTGTGCAGCGTATTCTTATGACAACATGATTATTTTAAATTTATTTGTGCAGTAGTGTAGTATCATGAACTACATAATCCAAAAAGTTATATTAAAATTTAAATGCAACTGGCTTCACTGGCCTACTTCCTGAAGCTACATATGGTGAAGACCCATGCCCTTCTTGACACTTACCTGTGCTTTGCTCCATCATTTTCCCACATCCCTGTTTTGACTGTTTTATATAGGATTGAGGCTGAAACATATCTTCGGTAGTTTTTCCTGTTGTAAGTTTAATTAAGAATGGGAAAATGTCTTACCCATAGTCCATTATGTTTTTTTCCTAGACCAGTAAATAATACAGCTATTTTCAAGCAGCTTTAACACAGAAGTGTACTCTAATATATGTATTCTCTCATAAAACCATTCTATGATTCTATTTTCTTATTACTTCACAGGAGTATTTACTACAGCCTTGCAAAATCGTAAGCTTACTAATGCAGTTGCAAACTCTACTTTGTCCACCCTAATTATGACAGATAATAAACTAAATTGTATTTAACTTGTCTGTCACAAAAATATTACTTGATTCAGGAAAACAGTAAGTAGGATTTTGCAAGATTGTTTTATCATATCTGATTCATAAAAACAATATTTTACTTAGTGGCAGCTAAGTGTTTAAGCACCATTTATGATGAGAGTAAAGTCACAGAAATAAACTGTACAATTTAACGTCAAGATATTTAGTCCCTTCTTTTTCCCCCAGACTTTCTTCCTCACATTCTTCTTCACTACGTGCAATATCATGAATAGCTGAAAACAGGCTGTGATTATTCCTGATTTTTCTGTATTGATGCCCTTCCAACGATGGTTTGTCCATGGAAAGATGCTTAATTTCTGTACTGCAGTAAACCATTTGGTGTCTCAAGATCAAACTAATCAGATCAATCCAAAAGGTACTGTACATCTACTGAGCAGTAATCTTCATGAAGGAGCACTGGATGTCCAAGTGCTGCCTTACATCAGGATTTTTTCTCATAAATATATACGTTCCAATAATATATATGTCTATAGTAACAAGTAAGTATTAAGTTCTATTTTCAAAAATAAAAAGCACAGCAGCTGTTCAAGAACGTAATTTCAACAGTTTGGTTAAATAATTTCTGCTACGTTAACCCTGTAACTATTCACCCTGAACTACATAGCATGTCTGTGTACTTTAAAAATTACAGACAAGCTACAAAAATCAATTTCACTGAAGTCATATGTTGGTATGCCCTCTCTAGCTTAACTACAAAGAAATTTAGAATCAATTTGGTGAAACATGAACACTTCAGTTGGCCAGCTCAGCTTCTTGTCAGACTTGCAATTAATTTCCAAATGGGTCCCAAAGATGACAAAAATATCACTTCAGAAATTTAGAGTACAGTAATGATTTACTTTTTTTTCCATTAGATACAGAAGGGTTAGTTTGTGTATTTGATAGCATACTTCCAGCAACAGAACCAAATGCTGAGCAGCAGTTTATCACAGTATCAATACAAAAAGTAACAAAACAAGTCAGCCTCAATGTGAGGATCTGACACCTTTTGCAGTATTATGCATGTCTCTTTGGAAGTGAGAATTTCCTTAGTATTCATAAGCATCTTCCCACAAAGGGAGAAACATCCCTAAAATTTCCTACTGGGCTACATGCAATATCATTAATTTACATCATTCACACATGTATTCTCAATATAGCTAGATGTTTGGAATATAGCTGTGAATACAGTGTTTCATTTTAAGCACTTCATCTGACTTCAAAAAGTTTTTAAGGTTTACTTTTCAGAAAAACAGATTTTACAAAACAGATTTCTATTTCAAGAAATATAACAAAAATATAATACAGGGCTAGAAACTGTATTTCAGATACTGATCACAGTTTTTTGTTTGGATAACAATACCCAACATTTTTACAGGCTAGTCACACAGGTCTGAATGTCAATAAATAAATTGCGTGATTTACAGTTAAACTGATGTTCAGAGTTACCTCCTATTTCGAGCCCTGCATAACAAATTATGATGACAGCATGGCTTTCATGTTGTGAATGTTAAGTATAAACAGGGGTAGAAATTAACCTGTTTTCTCCCTCTGTCATCTACTAGGATACTCAAGACAGTTTCTAGTTTTGGGTTTTTTTGGTCTGTTTTATTTACATACCAGACTTTAACTCTTCCTGTGAAACTGGCATTTTCCAGCTAAGAAAGGGTCTGAAGTCTTCTATATTAAAGTGTGAAGTATTCAACCAATGCCTTTTTTAATTTATGTTTCTGAATAGCAGAAGTATAAACCATGCTCAAAGTAAGGGTTTTTAATTAATCCAACACATGGTTGGAAGAAGTCATATCTAATCCAACTACTTATCAGGTAACTTGATTGACTGTCATTAATTTCAACCCCCGAGAACTGGTGAACAGGAAAGCAGTCAGGAGCAGCAAAGTAAAAGAGTAAGTAATTTTAGGAAAACATTGAAAGAGAGATAGAATTAAGGGTGTGAAAGATGTGAGATTTATGATTTTAAGGTGCAATGTTTTCCACTTACTCTTCACCCCCTTTTTCCCCTTGCGCTCCTTTTTGTATTGTTCCTTGAGTTTGGTTATTACTCCCTGGTCGACATTCCAAGCTTCAGGCATGAGACACTGGTCTTCCTTTTCTAAACAAAGTGAAACAAATGAAACATCCTTTTTCAATAATGTCACCAAGTGATCTCCACTGAAGGAGGTAACAGCTGCTGTCAATGGCATTTGTCTTATTTTAAACAGACAGAAATAGCACCAAGCTTGTGAAAGCTGTAAAACTGCTACTCACATTCCACTTCTATTTGCTCAGGATTTTCTTAACAAAAAATTGAGATGAAATTTCACATGCCTAATTTCCATAACCAAGCACATAGCTATTGATAGATCTAAGCAACATTTACTTTATAGTAAGTCAGGATATACTTTTCAGCTTTTTCTTTCCTCCAGAAGAAGAACTACTATATCTAGAAGCAGCAGCAGCCATGTTACTGGTCAACATAACTTTACAACTCAGATGTTGCATCATTTCAAATCCTCATTTCATTGTCTTTGTGCTATGTTGTCATTTAAACAAAACAGCAGCACATTTCAATCATTTTGGAACATAGTATATATGTCACCAAGGTTTTTGTGAATAAAATCTTAAAGCACTAAAGCCATGAAATTTCACAGAAAGGAAAAGGCCTGAGTTATTAGTCTTTGGAAAAAAAAACCAAACCAAAAAAAAAAAAACAAAAACCACCAACCAAACAAAAAAATTCCAATGTGCCTAAAGAAAAAAAAATCCCCCTTTTTCTCTTTTTCAAATCTCTCTCAAATTGCTTCCCCTGTGACATGATACAGAGAAGTAGTATTCTTCAATTGTATGGTACTTGGAGGGTTTGAACAACATGTTACATGAGTTCACATTCAAAAAAGTAATTTTTTCCATATATCGAAAGACTGTACTGAGGCAGCTTAGAAAAACTAATTTGTGACAGAAGGGAGGTAATACAGCTTTTCCTCGTATATACTTATTTTCATGACCATTACAGTTACAAAATTTTTTACAATTGCTTTGTTTTCCTCATTCAAATCTCAACCTTATTATTTAAACATTAATTCCTTTCAGACCAAGTTTGTTTTTTACATCAATAAACTATTCTAAACCTTTTAAAATATGAAAAATAATACATTTATCCTCAGACTAATATGCAGAAACTAAGTGTCTGCAGAGGAAGCACAACACTATCAATCACAACCTGAAGGAGTCACTATGACTGGACAGAAGATACACAACTGGACATGGGTTATTATGGAAACTGATCTGTTAGAAATTAACGATGCTGAAAAGACCTAGGGGCCTTTCTTCAACAGCATACTCTTGCAGCAAAGTCCACTGACCATATCCTGGGCTCTATTAACAAAACCATGGCCGGTAGCGTGAGGGATGTGGTTATTTCCTTCTTTGGCATTTGTGAGCGCATGACTTGAGTACTGCATCCAGTATAGCATTTCTTATACTTGGAAGCCTGGGAAGTATAATGCTAAGTATTTAGTATTGACATAGTACAGCAAGTCCAGAGAAGCCACTAAGATGGTTAAGGCAACTGGAGCAGATGAGCTAAAAGGAGGGGCTGAGACTACCATGAGCGTTCAGCAACGGCAAAAGAAGCATCTTAGTGCTGCCTACAACTATCCAATGGGCAGGTGTAGGGAAGACAGAGACAGACTCTGCTCAGACTTGCATCACAGAAGGACAAAATACTTCTTACCTCAAGGACAGTCAAATACCAGAATATTGGAAACATTCAAGGCCAGGCTGGATGTGGTTCTGGGCAGCCTGATCTAGCTGAAAACGTCCCTGCTCATCGCAGGGGGTTTGGACTAGATGAACTTCGAAGGTCCCTTCTAACCCTAACTATTCTATGATTCTACTGCCCTGGAAGAGTTTATGGGAATTCCTTTCTTGGAAGATACTCAAAACTTGACCAGAAGGCAGCCACAGTAACCTGCTGCAAATGGAACTGAGCAAGAGGTTGGACTACATGATCTCTCACTCCTCTGAATTCTTCAGTCACGATCCTATACTCATGAGTGACAGATTAATTCAAGACCCAGAGTCTTGAGGCATTAGTCTTTTTGCAGCAGCTATGAAAAGAGAGAGATATTAATAAGCTGAAGAGAGACTCTAAAAGATGGTCTGTGGGCTAAGTCATGTCTTCTTAATACATACGCCCAATTAAGTACTGCTAATAATAAAAAATTGCATGAAGAACATTAATGATCAAAACTTGCATGAGGAAAAGGTATGAAAAGATTATGCTAGAGAGACAAGTATGTATTCTTTCTGAGACTACATTGTAAGTTTTAATCATGCTTTTCCTCCCTGGCTAAACAAGATTTTTTGCTCTCCTCCAACAACAACAAAAAATTAATTAAATGGATTTATATGTACTGTTGCCAGGAAAATACTTAACACATTAATTTTCTACTGACTGCACCAGGATGCTTCCTGCATCCCACAAGTTCTGTTCAACTTCACAAGTGAATCCTGAACTATGCAAGTGCTTTATAGTTTAAAAATTACCTGAACACTTCTGAGGACCTTTCAAGCCAAATGGGTTCAACAGATTAGTGTAACTGATGAGTAATGCCTGGGATCCAAAAACAAAGTAAGGACTTCCTCTGCTTCTATCCTCCCTTTACAACATCACTGTTCTATGCTACATTTAATAGTTTTGCTTAAATCAAATTAATGTAAGTGATTCATAATGGCAGCTCCTTGAAGAAGCTTATTCTCATATGCAGTTACCATAAAAGACAGGTTGTGAAACAAGTAACTGAAAAACATGGACATCTATACTCAAAAAAACCCCTTAATATTTCTAGAAATGGGGCTACTACTTTCCGTGACAATTTAATGTCAGACTTTTGCTCATTTGTACTCAGCTGTCATCAATGAAAGTAAAAATAAACCAGAAGTGTGAATTTAAGAACAAAAAAGTTCCTGCTGGCATACTAACTTCAGTGACACAACAACAGCTATGCTTACCAAGTGTAAATGGATAAAATCCTAATATTGAAGAAAAGTATCTTTTATTTTTATTTATTTTATTTTTTGTAAAAAAGAATGACATTCCTATATTTGTTTGGTGAACAGAATACTGACTGCTATATATAATTATAGTGAGACACATCCTCTTAAGCAGAGAGACTACACCACACTGAACAGTAATTTGGAGTCCAACCAGGAGTTAAACATGGTTCAGTGAAATACAGAATCTGGGAGCTGTTAGCTCATGTGAGAGCCACAGCTATGATGGCTTGTCTGTCAAAGCTGCAGTTCCATTATAAAGATATTTCCCATTCACCTTCCACAGCTCCCTCTGTGTCCACTTACTCTTAAGACCCTCCAGAGCAGCCTAAGGAGGAAACAACTCCCCATCAAGATATTTAACCAGTTTGCTTCCTTCTTCCCTTCCCTATGGGGTATATTCATACATAATAATTATGTCAAAGTAAAGTGCATGCTGGCATTCTAGGCTGCAGGACATGAACCTCAAAGGACAGAGAACAGTTTATAAAATGTCCCTCTTTCTCTGACTAGAGGGCTTAAAGATATATTATTCTGGTAAATTATGAAAGAAATTTTGAGCAAATGAGTAGTACATATTGCCCAAATTGCTAACACACAAAGAAGTGTCACAATAATTCAATATTTATGAAAGTACAATAATTCAGTATTTATGACTCACATTACTCTCTGTATCAAAGTGGGAGAAAGCAAAGACAAAATAACTTTCATGTCATGATTGTAAAATAAAGCTTTATCAGAGCCCTTCATTAGCATGGGTCACTGGAAAAACACATTGAAACTCCACTCATAAAATTCAAATTCTATCTGCCTTATTATTAAAGAAAAGGAAGAAGACAATGACAAGAAGCATAACCCTTGAAGAATCCTTATATTAAAGCAGTATAAATAAAAAGGAGAACATTATCTCAAGAGGACTTCAGTCTACCAGTTATTTACTGTAGTAATACTCAAAAGAAGCTGTGATCGTGATAGAGATCTTAATCAAGCCCAAGTATTCTTAGCACATTTTTTTTTGATTCCTGGTACAATCCATTACATTTCCTTACCCCAGTCTGTTCCATCTCCTGAACTTCTCGATTCTCCATCACCTTCATCTGAGGTAACCAAAAAGTCAAACTCTTTCAAAGCTTCTTCTGTATCTCTGTCTTCACTGCTGTCAGATAGAACTCTTTTCCTTACAATCTGAAAGGTCAGGATAGAGAATAAAAAAAGTGAATTACATTATACACACATCTTTATACCGAGCAGTACTGTCTTGTCTTCTATGCAAAATCCTAAGAAGTTGAAGAAGAAGCAGAAAATATATTAATAAGCAAATCTGGAATAAGTACTCAGGCTTTGTTCAAACTTTTACGTCAAAATGAAATTTGTCTGTAGATCTTTCTTCTTGTGACAATTCATAACAAATCTACACTGACCTAGATCACTACTATTTTAATACCAGAAAAGTACAAACTTTCTTAATACAGATTTTAAAAAAAATCCAACCAAAACCAACAGAAAAATCACAAAATCCCAAGCAAACCCCCCAGAATACTGCAGAAAGGACTGCAGCAAAGCCAAACTCACTCTGCTTCTCAGAAAATAGCCTTCTTAACTCTCACCTCTGAAATCACTCTACATGTGGACCAAAAGACAAGTTTAGGAAAAAAAAAAAACCAAAACACAACAAACCACAACACAACTGACAAGACCTCATTTGCTCAGATCTGGCAAAATCATTCCATCCTGGATACTTCCTCAGATATTAAAGGTATTTGAACATGATACTTCCATGTTTAAACTGCAATTCCCTTTCAAATTCACAAGCAAACTATTTTTAAAAAAAATTACATTTTGTTAAAAGACAAAATACATGTTTCAATAAAGGACCTCAGTGTATGCTCTCTGAAATAAATTTACTTTTCTCTCAGTAATCAGAATGGACTAGATGCCTTACAGCTATGAGACATGAAATCTGTAGCACAAACTTTACTTCTACAGAAAGAACAAACTACATTCATCACAGTATTTTGACTTGGAACCTTGCTAAGGGTCAGTCTGTAAAGACTTCAATACATAGACCAACGTCCCATAGTTCATGAGGATGAATGATTGTTTCCTCTAAATACAATGAACCCATTTCAAAACCTGAAGCAATTCTAAACTTCAAGCTTCATTCCTTCAGCAGCCTTATTAAACACACTCTATTACAGATGATTTTACAGAGGAGTATCAGACATTAGTTCACGGCCCATGGATGACAGGAACAAGTTTACAAAGATTCTCTCCAAAAACTGTTTAGAACTGATGAGTTTTTAAGTGTTCATTCGCAAAACTCATCATAGAAGCAATCATATCCATCTTAAGTCTGACCTGCTTCAATTGCTAAGAAACAGAACTCATTGAATAATGACCAGATCATATAGCAAAGTACAGCTCAAGAGGGAGTTTCAGGTATTTCACTGTAGAGTTTTTCCAGTTACACTTTTTCTTCCTTCCACAAACTATCTAAAGAAAAATTTGGTATTTCAGTTCTGTAACCTACAAAGATAAATTTCTATGAATAATTTGAGATGTCAATACATTTATACAAATATTCAAGAAACAATGCATTTTTGACATGCAACATTACAAACACCACCCTCAAACTAAACTGAAAATTGTAAAGAGGGACAACTGCTACATTAAAAATTGTATTCAATATATATAAAAATATAAATAAAAAATACTAGGCAATATGGAATAGTAGGAAGACAATTTAAAAAAAATTAATCTGTCAGTGAAAACTTAAAGCAATAAAGATGGCAAAGCTTAACTTGTATGCACAAACGCAGAAACGCATGTATAATCCCTTTTACGCACACATGCTTGGACAGACCATCATAAAGATGTATTAATGATTTGCACGTGTACATACACAGTCAAATACTTTGCATACAGGTATCTCATTAATCTCACTTTTTCAGTTCTTCGTAAGTTTTTCAATTATTTTTTCCACTCACTGTTGCAGTATCAATGATTGTTTTCTCTCTTCCATCAATATCATCTTCATCTTCTTCATCACTAAAGTCTGCAGCTGCATTTTCAAGAAACTTGAAGGTCTCTAGCAGAGAGGCAGAGTCAGTCAATTCAGGTTTCCTAAACAACAACAACAACCACCACCATAAGTCAAAAGAAATTGTAACAAAGTCACTTTTGCAATTACCAGTCTGTTATGTATTATGATGTCTAACAACACGACACTAAAATAAGCCTATAGCTAAAAATGTTTGAGGATTAAAAAAATAAACAACAATTATTCTTCATCCAGCTGCAATTACCAAGACAGACACTTCATTTTTTCTTTATTTGAAAAGCATTTTAAAGCAATGTTCATCTGGTACATGCCCAAAAGCAACTTCAATACTGATATACCATCACTGAAAGCCTCAGCAACAAGGACATGAGTTACAGCTACTAAGTTAGCCTACCACATGTACATCAGGGTACAGGAAAACTTTGCTGCTGCGATGTGGTGTTCCTCATGTTGCTGGGAAACATCAAACTGTAGCTCTAACAATGATTAATTTTTAAGACATGGTAAATCTGCCACTATAAAGCAATATAATGGGAAAATATCATTGATAACTAAATAACATTTACGTAGATGTTATGATTAAGCAAATAAGGAAACATATGAAGACTGGGTAAATCATGCCTGCAGTGGCACAAATTCAGGCAATGCCTCAGAACAGGAAGTGTAAGGGTTGTTATACTAACAACCAAAGAGGAAGAATCCAAGAAGCAGGACTGTAACTATTATTAAAACTCTGATGAAAGTACAATTAAAGCAATCCTATAACGAACACCAGGTATCATGTTTTCTATGCAGAAAACACACTTCCCCATCAATGCCTCAAAGATGAAGTGGTGAAAAAAATTATTCAGTTTGAATTCTAATGATTACTTCCAGTAAAACCTTGTCCATTCTTTATATGACTTTACAGCAGTAAAGACAAGCTTTATTGTTTTCTTACCTTTAATCAGTAGTCTGTTTTTCACAGTTCATCACTAAATGCACGTCATCTTGATTTTCACAACCACTGAAACAATAGAAGTCTCTCTCTCTTTTCAGAGTTGTAGCTCTAAATTGTCTTGTACAGTCACCCTTATGACCAGCAAGTGCACTGCTAATGCTACATTTTGTTTCTGCTGTGACACATTTCAGAAGGTTCAATTAACTAACAAGCCTATATAATATGGCCTTTTAAACTCCCTGCAGTGTAAACATCTGATCATCCATCCATCCATCCATCACCCACTTATCCCAGTTTGTCTTCGTAACACTTTTTGAAGGTTTATTACAGGGAACATCCAAAGGCAAAAGCTCTGATGCGTAATAAGGCATGATAAGCAACACATTTCCTTCTTTACACAGTCTCTGCCTAGGCACTTCTATGCTTACATGACAATTAGCAGGAGTGGCTTCTTGATAGCCCCAGCATGTCTGCACTTCATTAAGACAATTTGCTGTTCTACCCTCCTCTCATTTACTCATCTTCACTGCTGAAAAATACCAATAAAGATTTCACTCGCCATTAGAAATTCCACATACACAGCCCCATAATATACTGTGTTGTACACTATGTTTTCATGGTCACTGGTTTTACTGAGAATGTTCCTTCCACTTTCCCCTATCTTATCTTACATACGAACAATCTCAAACATGCTTCCTGAAGTATTTTGACCCTCTTGTTTCTATGGCAAATCTGAAAGCAGTCTGTAATAGTTTAATTTTTCCTTAAGTAATCACTACCTTGGGAGACTACAATACCTCATGAATCTGTAGCAATAATGTAAATTTTCACAGAAATCGTATGGTACTCTTATTTTGCTGTTCCAACACAAAAATATTGGCAAGATAAAATTTGTAATATGCTTCACTTGACTAGCTTCTTGATTTTCAGCAAATTTTGTGTGTCCTGGTCAACTTTTAGGTGACTAAATCATTGGTTTTTCCTCTATATTTTGCCATGTAAAAATCTACCATGTAAAAACATCATGGCTGCTAATCTACATTAGCAACTGTCAGACATGCTACAGTAAGTAGCAATCTATGAACTAGTAACAAACAGGCTCACTCACACTGAAGTTCAAAGTGACTACCGAAAGAGAAGGTTAAATCTTAAAGTAACTGATCTGAATTCAACCGTCTCATTAATTATTGCATACTTGAGAGGGCAGGATATATACATAACTGTATATCTCCATTTACACGGTGGAGGTAGAAGGCATCTCAGGCATTGGAAAACACAGTAGTTTATCAGGTATTTCAAAACTCCTGCACAGTACAAAAATGTACAAAGTCAGCACAGTACAAGAGATTATTTGTACTAGAGTGGAACTTCCAAGAAAGAATTCAGAAGAACCAAAAAAAAGTAAACAGAAGTGACAGAATATTTAAACTATTTATAAGTTCTACAGGGAAAAGAAGCTTCAAGCTGACAGACAGGTTGATTGGTTATACTGTACTCCCAAAAATTTTAGCAGTCAAATAAAAAAATAACTCTGTAATTTAGCATCCTTTAGCAGTACATAAACATAATGCACTTTAAATATTACTGAAAGCATAAACACTTAGGAATACTGTAAAATATATGCAGGAAAATGTCTGGCCTTAGTTAATTTCTATAAAGTACTTTGAAGGCAATTCAAAGCTTATTTGTTTCATTATTCTCCATCTGTTTAGTTTGTTTCTCATTATGGGGTCATTGATAAAGCAACATAAAAAAGCAGAAGTGGCAAACATATATTCAGGGATAGTGTAGTATAATAAATTACTTTAAATTCCATTTCAGAAAAAGAAACACAACTCAACATTTCCAGGGCTTCTCTAGTTTAGAATACTTCCTAAAAAATTAATGGATGAAAACAATAGAATGGAGCTCCCAAGGCAAGGACTAATATACGACCTGTAGTATTATAGGCATGAGTGAAGCAAGACTATGGCACAAGGCTCAGGACCTGTTGCAAATAAAGGGAGACCAAAAAAACCCCACAAAGGTCTCAGAAAGGATAATTCCTGTTTATTGGGCTGTCCTGGATCAAAACGTGTGTTAAGGGAGAACATTATTTTCAAAGGGCAGGAACTTAAGCGTTGCTTTTTCCCCAGCCATACTGACTAAAGAAAACCTGCTAGTGAAGAACAAGCTGAAAAGCCCAGACAGCAGGAGCAGCTACAGAAGCTGCCAAAGCAGAGTGCATACAATGACCAGATTTTGGCATGACTTCCTCAACCCTGTGCTCCTCAGCTGCTTGTCCTGAATCTCCTTCCCACTGCTGCTTCCTCAATCGTACTCTGCAACCACAGCACTCTTGCATGGTTTACTTCCCAGCACCTAACCTTGCCTTCTTTCCATGAGGGTTTCATCGCAGTTGACTTACCAATTCCTACTCAAACCTCAAAAAAAAAGAAAAAAAATTATTTTACCAGTATAACATCTTCTATCAGATACAGTTAACTCTCCATTACATCCTCTCCAGTAGCCTTATGCACCTAGACAGCAAAGGTTAGGGGACAGAGAGACTACCTATTCATGTCTGAACGCAACTAAGTACAACAGGACTAACTGCTTATCACAAGCACAGCCAGCAAGTAGTGCCCCAAAATAAAGCATAGCTACACTAATGCTGCTGAGTTTTCCATCTTACTACTAATGGATGGGCAGCACACAGATTTTGTGAATATTACACAGGGAACTTCTGATCCCCAAAGATAAGATACTTCTTCCGCTTAAAATGCAAAATTCCTGTTACAAATGGGCTGGTAACTGAAATACTTACCTCCCTTAGAGCAACATAAACCTGAAATCACATTAATATTTTTCTCCTCATGAGAAGTTGCCAGAACTTTCTGCAACTGAAAATCTCATCATCTCATCCCAACTTGTATATTACAAGCTGTAGAATTCAGATTTGTCTTAACCCCTTGGCCCCATAAGACTAAAACTAATAATAATATTTTCCCATGAAATCTAAGAAACACAATTTGTGGATATTCCACATGTACTATTTCTGCCCTACAGTGACACAACTCAAGACAACTATTTTGTACAAAAATCTAGCCGGCCCTGACATCAAAATATTTGCAGTCTTATAGAATGTATAGTGTTTGATTTGCTCTCCACATTTAATATTCAGGATCTTAATACAAATCCTGTTTCTTACTGAGTGAAAAGTAGAAACCATAACCTAAGGGAAAGGCGAAGCTGTTACGTGGAAACTAAAACAGCATATTGATCATACCTTTCCTGCTTCCAGCATGATCCAGAATGTTTCATATTGCAAAGTCAAGTTTAACTTACACTAAAGCCACATTACAGACACGTATTCTCTTTGTAACCAACACATTTAGTATTTCTCTCATTATCTTCTCCTTTGTTGATAACAACTCTTGGGAGTCTGTGGTCATGTCCAGGAAGACACTCAGACTGCTCCCACGAACAGCCCAGCCGCAAGGCCATTAATTGCCTCGGTCCTACTCACTCCCCCAAATGAAAAAGTAGAGGGGTTTTGGTTCGTTTGTTTTATCCAAGACATACACAAGTTATCTTAAATAAAACCAGATTTTATTGATAAATTCAGAAGCAGGAAGAAATATCACAGTAGATTTAAATAAACACAAGTTCAGCTAAGGCTGAGAAATGTTTCTGGGGGCCTGTAACAGGAAAAAGCCTGTTGTGACCCAGCATTCAAAGAGCTACTCTAGCAGCCTCTTTCTTGAGCCATTTTCTTTGGCTCAGTTCTTCCTACTGTCAAAATGCTCTACTACAAGGTCGTAAGTTTTATTAATTCCCCATAGAATTTAGGTGTTTCATGTTTTAACAGAGTCTTCTCAATGTGGCTGGTTGAGCTCTTTCGAAATGGATGCAGTAAATAAATTCATGCAAATTCAAACGTATTCCTTTCTGTAAGGGTTGTCTTTAAGAACAGTTTGTTAAATCTTCCATATCATGCAAAATCTTTCATAACTCAGCACAGAAAATATCAAACTAATAATATATAAAACTATGGAACACTTAGAATCAGCAAAATTTACAAACAAGGAGCATGGGACAGGCTAGATAGTCTGTCACAACCTCTGAAACCTGTTTTGAATT